ATAAAGGCTCGCAGGCGCGAACAAGGCATCGGAGCGCATGCGCAAGACTGCCAGCCCGAAGAGATAAAGTGGCAATAAACCCTAGCGCCTACGTACCCCTCCTCCGTCCCAACGACAAGCCATGATGGTGTAAATGAAAAGTTCCACAAGTCCCCATATTGTCCTCGCATCTGTGCCGGGGGCAGGCCAATCGATCATGCCCGGCGAATTCAGTGCCCTCGTAGACACAGATCACGCTACGCGGCAGACAGTGTCTGGTGGTCACGGGGTCGGCAACTTCAAGGGCCCCCCTTCTGTTGCAGGCGTGCAGATCCTGACCCCCCACCTCGCCAACACATTCGTTCGCCTTAGGGCAGGAGGACGACGTGGAGGCACCCACACTCGGGTCAAAAACAACCGCTAGACTACGTGCTGGTCGAGATTGACGTGGCTATTTAGTGGCAAGGATGATGCGTGGTAATCTGTTCCTGCGATCGCCAGTTTGATCGTTCACCCATGCCGCCTTGAGCTGCGCTAGACTCGGCACCAGCGTGGCGAGAGCTTGAGGCCAATCTACCCTTCATCCTCCGCTGATGGGCTGCAGGCCATTAGAAGTCCGAGGGCATAATGGGTTTTAACAACTGCATGAACCTCAACCTGTGACAAATCCAAGTCCTCGCCTGTTTAAAACATGCAAGAATGCCGTCAAAACTCTTACGTGCGGGTACATGATCAACTCGAATGTACGCTCTCCCCGCAGAAAATAATCAGAGCAGTATGAATGTCCGAATGCTCGCGATATTTTAAGGAAACAATTATTCTTCGCCTTGTTTAATTTCCCGGGAGATCCATGCGCGAACTTGGAGTAAAGCCTTCGGAACAGACCTTTACAGGCGCGGTCCGAAATTTGAGTAGCTGATGGATTTCAGCCCAAATATTCATATCAAACTTCGAACCGTGCCTGTAAAGGTCTGTTTCGAAAGCTTTACTCCAAGTTCGCGCATTAATTTCCTCGAAAATTAAACAAGGCCAGGTGACACTGGAGTTCATATACCAGAAAACACACGGGGAAGGTTGGGGGACTTACTGATGAGCCGAACCCCTCGCAGCTGCTTCAGGCAGCGGCACAAGAGCAGCAAAACACGCGTGTCTGGGCTTTTAGTTAGTACCTGTGTAGTCAGTACGGTAAATAGTTACACAATTATTCTTCGCCCATATAGACGCAAGAAGATGAGGACTAGCCTATGCACCCCAATAATTGCTGTGGCAAAGGCCTTTAGCGCGGTGGGCAAGGATTCGATCCGGAAAATTATGCCGAAATTCTGGTGCTAGGAAGTAATGTGGATTAGCGAACAGCTAAATGACGACACGACGGTGCGCGTCACGAAAACTAAACCTGCCCCGAAGTATTTGCAGTGAGAAATTGGGTGAAACAGGCTTGTCTACTCGCTCTCAATCCCTCTCCATTTTGCATGTTCTACGTCATGTACATGAACATCTACCGTTGGGAGCCGTCGGAAATCAACATGAACTACCGAACCGATGCACATTTATGTAACATCCGACGCATGCGGCAGACAAAAAAGCACCCCAGCCCAGTGTCCATGACCGTTTATTCGTGGGCGGCTTTGCGCTGAACACTATAACCGAAGAGTGGAATCCTTTGCCTCGGATTACACAAACTCCCGACTCACCAGTAACCAACAGAAGACAGCAATCAATCATAAACCAACACGATGAGAGAAAATGCAACGAACCAGTGGAGTGTCAATGGAATCTATCCCACAACTGAACGGAATGTCCTACCTGAGGGAAGTCCGAAAAACCAAATCGTAAGTCGGACCTTTGGCAAGGTGTAAAACCAGGACTGGAAGCGCCGCCGCATCATCCCCTGGAGCAGACGGAAGACTTGTAGCACTGCTGTCCTGAGTACGATAATGCACGGGCTGGCCCGTGGACAATGCACGAACAAGAGACAATAAAACCTAAACACTTCTATGCCAGTTGCCTCCGAAGAATACAGGGGTGGCTTGAGACTAAAGGATACCGGAAACGGAGTTTATGAAGACTGCGGCTGCGCTGAGACACATGGAACTGTGACGGAGCCACCGAGCATTGCTGACGAGTAGCTGCCCAAGAGATTATTCCGCTGCAGCATCCTTATGGGTGTTCACAGGCACGCCGGACAAAATCAACGATACGAGGACGACCTAGAAACCTATCTCCAGCACCTATAAATTCACCATTTTGGATTCGCTGGATCCCTTCAGTCCACAACAATACTAACACAACCTCCACAGAAGAACTGCCGACTCCAAGCGTCAGTGATATACTCTTCTCAGAATGCATTGTCCGAAGAGAATTAGAGGCATTGAACGAATCGAAGTCGCCAGGACCAGACGAGATTCCACCCAAGCTTCTGAAGGAACTTGCCAGTGAGCTCTCTGTGCCTTTGTCAATGCTCTTTCAAACGTCATTTGACACTGGAACACTTCCTGTCGATTGGAAGCTGGCGCATATTACTCCGCTACACAAAGGAGGTAACAGGGCAGCGACGGCAAATTACCGGCCCATAAGCTTGACATGCATTCTCTGCAAAGTTATGGAAAGGATCATAAAGACTGAACTGATGCAATTCCTGGAAGTTCACGGCCTGCTATCGAAATGCCAACATGGGTTCCGAAAAGGAAGATCCTGCACGACAAACCTGCTGCAATCTCTCCAGAGCTGGACCCGAGCTCTCGACGACAGGCACGCGGTCCACATAGCCTTCATCGACTTCCACAAGGCTTTCGACACTGCCACACCAAAGGCTCTTACATAAGCTGAACAAAATAGGGATCGGTGGCAACTTCCTTAAATGGATTGAAAACTTCCTTGTGGATCGACACCAGGTTGTGTGCGTCGGTCGGGGAAAGTCAGATCCGGCTATGGTCGAGAGTGGTGTCCCCCAGGGTTCTGTACTGGGACCCATTTTGTTCCTTATCTACGTGGACGATGCCGCAAGAGATTTAGACTGTGAAGTAGCAATGGTTGCGGATGACATGAAGATATGGAGTGTAATTCGGGGTCCTGCCGACGAAGACAGACTGCATATGAATCTGAATCGGTTGGAGGAGTGGTCAAACCGTTGGCTCCTGCGGTTCAACGTTGCCAAATGTAGCATACTTCGCCAAGGCAACACAGCCAGATCCGCCAGCACAAGAGGCTACTTTCTGGGCGGTGCAGCCCTACAAGAGGTCGAAGCCCAAAGGGACTTCGGTGTGCTGACGACGAGTTCCCTAAAACCATCCGCCCACTGTTCGAGGGTGGCAAAAAGCGCAATGTCCGTACTGTACGCCATCAAGCGTGCGTTTATGGACTTTGACGAAGAAGCTTTCTCTAAGACATTCGGAACATTCGTCCGGCCGCATTTAGAGTACGGCATACAAGCTTGGAGGCCGTGGGCTGTTGTGGATCAAAACTGCCTCGAAAGAGTCCAGAGGAGAGCCACGAAGATGGTTAGGGGTCAAAGCTCCTTTCCTTATGCAACCCGCCTAGTAAATCTGAACCTCTTTCCTTTGAGTTACAGGCAACTTCGCGGAGATCTCTTGCAAGCCTTCCGCATTGTAAAAGGGTTGGATTGTAGTCTGGCCTTCGAGGACTTTTTTGAATTTGCTACCACGACCAACCTCCGAGGTCACCCGTTAAAACTGCGCACTCAGCAGGCACGGCTGGATGTGCGAAGTTCTTCTCGGTTCGGCTGGTCGAACCATGGAATGAGCTTCCCGCAGATGTTGTGATGTCACCATTTATACAAAGTTTTAAGAAGAACCTGGACATATTTATGTTCCGAAATGACCAAGTGCGATGAGAAGTCGAGCTCACCCCCTGTAACTCCTCATTTTGTCCCACCATTATGGGCGTGTTCGAACTATTTCAGCCCAGAACATCTATCTGTACACCACAAATTTTTTACGTTGCAAATAGGGTACTCAAAGGCTTACGCCTATTTCCCTCAATAAACTGAACTGAACCCACCCCCCACACCACAAAGCAAGACAATCATCAGTATTCCAACTGGAGACTGCGGGCTTACTTATTCTCAGTTTAACACCACGGCCCGGTCCCGGTAGGACATCTCCACACCCACCGTGAAGGGAACAGAGCAGCTACATGTAGGCCAACCGTCACCGGCAATATAGACCTATTGCTAACTTATCCCCGCCGTGATTGCACCTTGCAGTCACGCATAGACCTGGCCAGCCAACTGCGAATTAATCGCGGTGCAATTGGAGACGCAGTGCCTGGAGCCCTGGCCCACACTCGTCGCACCGGCCTATCCCGCCCACAGTGTCCTAGGACACTCAAACACCGCATGAGTCTATTCGGCTAAGTGAACTATCGTGAAAAAGTTCAGCAAAAAAAACCAGCACGACCCAGGTCCCCTTACATAACCTTACCCTACACACACGGACACTTAAGAGAAGACGGGGACTTATTCCGTCACGCGAATGCACACGCCAACTATCGGCAAGACGTTGCTCATGAGAAAATAACGCAGGCGTTAGTGAGCAAACGATCGTATGGGACCGTGTGCACATCGTCCTTTTACGTTTAGGCGAGACCCAGTCATGTAGGACCAGGGACCAGCACGTGCGCGGCATAAGCAAGCAGGTTTCTTGGCTTCTTAGGCTGTGTCTACACCAATCTCCGCTCAAATCTACTGTCTTGTTATGGGAATGTGAGCGGTGTGGAGAGAAAGTGGGGTGGATGCGGCGCATGTCTGCTGGCTATAAACAAGATCATGTGACAGTCACAGGCACGCCCACCCCGTGGAGC